CATTACCATGTAGTTTGATGCAAAATTTCATTTAACACTTATGACCGGACACCCTGATGTTTACCACCCTACAAGTTTTATACACAATCACAACACTCGTAATAAAAATAAGCTGAACCTTTCAAAGAAAAAGATGTAGACTCTCGAAAACTATGAATTACCATACCTACCTAGGATTAAATGTTAAACAAGCTGCCAAATGTCTGTCAAAACATGTCTGTAACTGTTTTTAGTAAAAAGCTCCATAAATGGCTTTTAAACAACCCTTTTTAGAGTTAGTGAATTTTTTAACACTTGCCCATGAGACTGATTTTATGTAATTTAACTAAATGTTGTGTATGCATGGTATTGTAAATGTTTTTTCTATGTAAGCCTACATGTCATATGTGTTTTTACATTTTCTTATTGTTATAACGTTAGAACTAGAAGTGTTGTAAATATTGGTTTATTCGATGTGATCTTGTGACGATGTCTAACTTAATGTGCTGAATGACTGAATAAATGCCTTATTAAAGATCTGTAGAGTAAACGAACCTTCCTACTGTATTTTTAAATATAAGACACGGAGGCTCGTATGTACTATGATCTGTAGAGTAAGTGAACCCTCTTAATTTGTTTTTTATATTTTCGATCTGTAGTTTAAGTGAACCTTCAATATTATTTACGAGGCCCGTATAGACTATGATCTGGAGAGTAAGGGTTCCCCCAGTATTTTTTATTTCAGCTGCAGTTTTTTAATACGGACAAAATGAGAGTTTAAAAAAGAAAAATTATAACAAAAGGTTCAATTATAAAATTTAGAAAAATATAAAATTATTTTTTAAATTTTTAATTTTAAAATTTAACTGTCATAACCTAACCTAACTAACCAATTTTGCTGATAATGAAAAAATCTAATGAAGGTTTACTGATCGAAAAAATAGTCCTGTTCATTAAATAAAATTATAAATGCCTCAAATTCAATATTATAATTTTTTTAAATCATGAAATTAAACTGTCATAACCTAACCAAACTTGCTGATAATTAAAAAATTGAATGAAGGTTTACTAATCGAAAAAATAGTTTTGTTCATAATATAAAACTATAAATGGCTCTAATTCAATTTTATAATGTTTTAATTATAAAATTAAACTGTCATAACCTAACAAAACTAACCAAACTTGCTGATAATGCAAAAATCTTAGACAAAAAATTAGCACCCCCGGTGAGGCTCGAACCTGCCACCCTCAGATTATTAGCCCGGCACGGTATCCATTAGACTAGACCACCGAGGCCTATAGCATAGATGAAGTAATATAATTATATTTACTTCATCTATGCCTATAGCTTCACACTGTATCGTAGCGGTAATGGTGTTCCCTCAGCTAAGAGAATGCTCTTATTTTGTCTGTATTTAAGAATGCAGCTGAAATAAAAATTGTGCGCCCCCCCCGTAGTCCACTGTAACATGCCTATAAGATCGTGGGGTCCCAGATGACCGACATCCCAAAAGACCGGAACGGACACATCCGTATTTGACAGACATTCAAAATAACCAACGGGGCTAACCATATGAGATATAGGTTATATATTGGCTATTATACATTATTTATGACCCGAACAAAAGAACTGTAGTTGAAAAGTCCCATAATATGTTTAATTCCATCATAGGTGGCATCTAAGCTGATTGAGTGATAAAGTCCGTTGTATAATTTTCGTCTGGTTGCCAGTTTTTTTTTTTCAATTTAAAAATAAGTTTATAACTTTGTATAGTACTATTGCAATGTTTAGGAATTTTGCTAAATATACTTCAGTTCTATAGTCACCACTGGCCATGTGACCTAATTTTTGAAAGTGACAGTGGCAGGGACAGGAACAAAATACTAGAGTATAGAGTAGAAGCAGACAGCATTAGTACTCCACTACACCATATGAGTATATGACTGGCGCACTGCCAATGAGTGTTGTATACAACTTGTTTCTCTTTAAATAATAGTTAGTGCCGGTCCTAGATTATAACTTAATTCTCTTCAAATTATAATTAGTGCCAATCCAACAAAATGCCTCTTCAACGGCGTAAGTACCTAAAAAAACATTTTCATAACCTTACTTCCTAGCTGTGTTGGTACTTTGGCCCCAAGGTTTCAATATTCTTATAAGCATGTTTTTTTAATACGTTTCCTTATTCTGCAGTAGTTTTTAGCTATAAATTAACATGCACAAACAATGTGTACAATGTATTTTGTTTCGAACAACTAATTTTGCTTTTTAATAACAGTGTTAGGCCTAGCTATGTAGTGATTAAGTTAAACCTAATTTGTATGAAGATCTAGGCCTATTGTAATCATCAGTTTTTAGGTTTATTAAATATATACGGTACCTAGGATGATTGTGACCTAAGAGTAGGTACCTGTACTTTGATACTTTGTATGAAATTGCTACACTGTAGGCTACATAAGGTCTACCAGCAGAGTTTCTCCGAACAATTACTAAGTTTAACACAACATAAAAGGAAACAGGCATGGGTAAAATGCTTGAAAAATTAGGATTTTGTCGAGAACCCGTAATTCCCAATTAAATTTATTTGTTCGTTAACTTAGAGGCTAAGTTAAGTTACCTTTATTTTTAACATATTATTTCCTTTTCCCTTCCAGTTTGTAGCACGTCAATAGAGAGAGAATAGAGTTTTAAATCAACAAATTACCAACCCAAAATTCGTACCTATGGATAAATAATGTATAATATAGGCCTAATGGGTGCTTATATAATACATGCTAGTTCTATGTGGGTTTTATTGAAAACAGTAGTGGTTGTAGAACCTTGTCAAAAGGGGTGGGGTAACAGGGGCGCTCCACACCAGGAAGGGGTCCGGGAGAGGAGCATTTGTTATCCTCCTCCGGATTGTTGCATTCTCTCCCTGGAAAACTTGCTACCTATAGGCCTAATTTTTAAAGCCATTTGGTGACTTTTGAAAGCCATTTTAAAGTGTAATAATGTGTCCATAAACCTCGGTTACGTTTTATGTCAAAGCGTATGGTAAAATTTATATTTTTAGGATCCAATGAGGGGAGGGGGCAGTTTCTTAGTTGGTTTAGTCTTTCATCGATTGGGTTTGTTCCAAGACTTTGTTAAAAATATTCAATGAATAATATGAGTTGGAAAAATGAAACTTCCCTGATACATCTCATACTGTTACCCTTCTAAACTCTGTGAATGATTCAGTGATTAAGCTACGGGCATGTAATTTATATTATGTTTCCTTCCCACCCTATGAGCACAAAATACACATTATTTTAAGACATATAAAAATAATCAAAAAGTTGTAAAAAATTGCTGATTTAAGGTGAAAGTCACAAAGAATCCACCTATCCCATTAATATAAGAGCTGTCCACAGTTTATGGTGGGCCTGTGCCCAGGTCAACTCCTCATGAGTAATAGGTCAATCTGACCCAGACTCCTGGCAGGGGATACAAATCTGTAGAGACCACTCGGTCATTGATTAGACCGGCAAAAAGACCTAGGAGACCAGCTGATAAATAATAAGCCTATAATTTTTTTTTAGAACAATATTAGGGGTCTTAGGGTAAGACATACAGGGTTTTTCAAAACTCTCTCCCGAAACTCCGTGGGCATGTTCAAAACAAACCAAAAATATCAAACATATGTCCTATCTCGCTTCGTTTTCCGTCTGTCACATAACTTCTCATACATAGCTTTGAAACGACTTGAGGTGCGAACTTCAAACTTGGTACGTGTGATGACTAATAGGAAAAATTTTCGCAAAGCATCAAGTTTCTACTTTGTATAATTTAAAAATGGCGGCCATTTTACTTTGTCAAAGCTTAATAACTCAAAAACCATCGGATTTATAAGAAGATTACAAATGACAAAAAGAATGAAAATTCAATTCCCTTTACAGAAATGTACAATTTGTATAGGGTTATAATACACATAACGGAAAAAAATTCATTTTTATAAAGGTAATACCTGCTAATGGGTCGCCGGAAGACTGCCCCCCCGAAAAACTACCCCCCCAAGCAGGTTCCTACGTCATATTGACGTCAAAGACCGGGGGGGCAGTTTTCCAGTCACGAACACTCAAATTTAGTTGTCAAACAGTTCTAATCTAACCTAACCTAACCAACCAAACTTGCTGTAACATTTTGAAACCTGTTTTATATTCACCACATGCCTTTTGTATTATCCAACAGAATTACTCGAATTAAAATTGAAATTACATAGGCCTAGCATGATTTGTCTAGGGGGGGTAGTATTCCAGTCGCGGACACAGCTTCCATATTGGTTAGTTAGCAGATTTTGTGACGTCACGTTTCACCTGGGGGGATAGTTTTCCGGGGTCGATAGTATTCCGCATCCCCCCGCTAATTTATTGAATTTGCCAGTCTTATTATACTCCTACGTTAACGCGAAATAGTGTAGGCCTAGATATCTATTTGAAGTCTTGCAGATTTCACCAACGTCTCCCACGATTGCGGCGAAACAGATTACCGGTGAAATAAATTTATCAAGAATAGATTCGAGGCCGCCGGCAACTGCCGTTAAGGAAATACGGCCCCACTCTTTTTGACATCTTAATAAATTTGATGTTGTGTCACCATTTTGTTTTTAAAAAAATATCGAGTGTGCGCCGATTGGTTATTTGTTTTCCTAGGATAGTTTTTAAGTAGGCTATACTGGTATATATATTTGCATAGGCCTATAACATAGCCCTAAACATAAACCAAGGTCCTATTTGGAATTTTTTTCTATTGGTTTGTAGAACACATGAAGGAACCTCTTTTAGTGTTAGGTGATAATTTAAAATAGCCTAATGGTTCTTTAAAAATATTATTGATACACAATTTAGGAATAAACCAAATTTTGCACATTGTTCCTTTGCTTATATCTTTAAAAGCATGTTATAGGCCTACAGTATTATAACTATTATCTCTCATCTTATAAAAGTTATTCTCTAGAACTGTTTCCGTTTGAACAAAAGACAACAAGCATTGAAATCGACAGAAAAATAACGCTATGTCCTTTATTTGCAACTGGTGTGAACTGAAGGAGTTTCGTCAACTACAGTGGCTCAAAATGTTTTGTATACAAGCATTACTCTTTTGTATCTACTTCGCAAAATCAACCTTCTCATCCTGGACAACTGGCCCAAGTAACTATCCTGTTTTCTTATTTTTATTTATATTTTTTACAATTTTTATATTTCAAAATATTTACTTGTGTATTTTGAATACTATCTTGAAGAACACACTATCTTGATACACAGCAATAATTTTTAGTTTTCAAGTCAACTAAAATTATTTCTTAATGGTCCCCCACAGGAGGGGGCCGGTTGAATAACAAATTGTTAGTTCAAGCTTTGTAGTTTTATAATGCTCAATGTGTGCTCATAATCTTTGTAATTCATGTAGGTTATAATTTTTTATTCGTTTATCTAACGCAATTAATAATAAAAATTAGTAAAACTGAGCAAGAACCACCTTAAATATAATAGGTCCTATTAGAAAGGTGGCCTGTTCGAAAGGGGTCGAATTATTGCATCAAGCCCTTAATGCAATAAGGGGGGGGGGGGGTTTACATTATGGGGCCAATAGGCTCACAAAGAAGCACAGTCCTTAAAACAAAAAAATTAGGACTTGAAATGAGGGAGAAAACATGATTCCATTGGCAATAAATAAATGACTAGTGCACAGTGCTTTTTATAATTATGATTTTTTAACGGAGAACATATTTTTTTGTGCCTACATTGTTTATTATGTGTTCCTTTCATTTTATGATTTTGCACGTTGTTTTTGACGGATTCAAATCTTCTATAGGGTTGCAGAAAAAAATGTATGGTAAGCGCATTTTAAATAGAATAATTCTGGCCTTTAGATGGCCTAAAATTATGTTATAAAGCTTTATCAAATATATTGTTTGCGAGGTTAGATTTTTCTTCAGACCTTTTGGAAATATTAAGTAAACAACAGCCCCCCCCCCAATTACAAACAAATCTTGCGGAAGCCCAAGACAATTCCAACATATAGGCTTATGATTGATAAAATTAGAAAACCTTAAGGTAAGATTTTCTGCTATATAAAAACTAAAAACCATTTTAATTCCAGACTTAGGGAGCAACAATTCAAACTATGACTTATTTTTTACAAGCTCCAGACCACGGTATGGCTACCACAACCAAAGATCTTGTCAAATCTTTAAATACAACGATGGTAGGTAAATGATCATAAGCATTAAATATAATCAAAAGCATGTCATTTATTGGCATGCAACAATTTTTAATGTCAGTTTCATTTGTGGATCTATTTTGGCACCAGGATGTCTTTAGAGCATACAAATCATTATAACAAATCACGAACAATTTGTTTTTGCAACAACATAACATAATTAACATATTTAATTTACTGTATTAAAATTTGTCATGCTTATCAACTTCATTTTAGGCCAACTTAAAATCTGAATTTTTATTAGGTTTTTCAATTCATCAACATAGATATTTCCAGAAACACATTTATTTTATAAAAACCCTCAACTATGAGTACGGTATTCGCTTACAGCAACTTTAAAACCAGTACCTACTTACTTACCAGGAATTCTGTAATTTAGTTACCACATTTTGTGAACCACTGCGAAGTAAAAAACTAGCACAGGGTTAGTTGAGCAATTGTTTGTTATTACTGACTGCTTTCAACAAAATGTCAGTCAACGTTGTTCTTCTGATGGGAATGGGGTTTTAAAGTGTAAGTTGTATTTCTAATTTCTAGAATATTTTTTATAACTTCTCCTAACAGTAAACATAATTAGTAGGAGTGATACAATATGTCTAGTCAAAATTATCATTTTAACTTGAAGTTGTAAAAACATGACACACAATTATTACGTTCAATGCAATCAGGAACTATGCTTACTTTATTCATTACATAAATATATGATGATAGCCTACATGGACCAGACAATCTTTGCTTGGTTTTCAGGGGTTAGCTACATTTATCATTCATTAAAAAACATTCATTAAGTGGAAGTATAAAGTTAAGTTAATTTCCAGTTTAAGTTAATTAAAATTAATCAGTTTAATTTAAAAAGCTGAGATACTTGAGAAACTGACCAAAAAACAAATTGTAAATCAGATATTTGTTTTACTAACCTCAAACTTGGGGTTTTCCTGTCGGTAAGTTTTTGTTTATCAGGTGTAAGCCATATTTCCATGATTGCCTTGATAGCTCATGACAAAAAAGATATCGAATACTCCAACCCAATGTGACATTGTATTGTGGCATAAATCTTTTGACTGTAGACTAAGCCACAGGTTGAGTGGTTGTAGGTGGTGAGGTGTTACCTTATCTTTTAATTTTTCTTCTTCACTTTTTGATCCTTTTCAGTAAGTAATAATCTAGATAAATTATTTAATAGAGGTTTTTTATATAGGAATAGACGTGTATTGAGTTGTTGAATGTTTCTGATAAGAATTAGGTCTATAAATTGTTCTAATTATGTTTTATTTTTTTAAACTTTAGAAGTTACTGCCTCATTAACATAGGGTAAATGAGTTTCATTAATTTAAGTGTTTATGTTTTATAGTTTAAGTAATTTTTATAGTTCAAACATTTTATTGGGAAATAATATATTAGTACAGTAATATGATAAATTATTTTCCATTTTTAATGTTGTGTGATGTTTAACTTTTAATTCTAATAAGTTTATGAGCTTGTGAATTTCCCATATAGGGAATAAGCTATTGGTCTCATGGTAAGACGTATGTACCCGGGACCACTATACTTTTTCATTTTGATGTCCTCAGATGACAAAAACACCATCCTTTCAAATTCATGTGTGTGTGCCCGTTAGCATATTTTGAGTAAGAATTCTCCAATTTCAATTAAAGCTGCTACAAACTTGTAAACCTACGTTTATCAGCATGATTGGACTATGAGAACAGGGTTTTATAGGGTAAAATATTTTCTCATTTTTGACCTTCAAAATAAAGAATTTCTAAGTTTCTCGCCAATCTGTTTTGTAGAAGTTTTTGCTTAAAAAATAATTAATTTAGTAGGCCTATTTTGAAGTGTTTTTGTATGGTTATTTGTTACGGAGAAGATTAAAAATAGTCAATTTCAAATTCCCACATTGTGGCAAATTTATTTATTTTATACTCAGCTATTAATATTTTACAAAAAAAAAAAAAAAAATAAATAAATAAATAAACTTTAATACTCACCCTGTAGCAGCAAACATAAATGCTGATAAAAACTATTTTTTAATAGGGAATACCTTTTACATATTTAAGGCGACATTTAAGTTTTTAAGTTAGCAAACATTATAAGCCTTTATCTTATCTAGGTTATAGACTTTAATGAAACCCATGATCAAGTCATAATAATTTGATGATACAGTTTTGTTCACCCTCTTTAAGTTTTTTCAAAACTTAACTATTTATCTTTTGTTTGGATCTGTTTTACACACAATATGCAACACAATTTGAAGAGTTTGTATAGTAATTATTGTACATTTTTTTTGCGATTAGGTTTTATGATCAATGATTGTAAGACGTAATTACTTCAAAGCTGTCAGACCAGCTTAAAATATGTTTAACACGTTTTAACTTAGAAAATGTTGTTGTAATTTCAAAACATGTGGGCTACTGATGATTTAATAAATATTTACTGTGTAAGTAATTTAGTCTTAAATTGATTGATATAATAGAATATAATATATACCCCCGCCGCAGCAAACCTGCTGACTACGCGAATTTCCATTTGTCTGAATTAATTTTTAATTAAATCTATTTAAAAAACATTAAGTTTAATGAGTACCTAGGTTTGCTGCTATAAGGAAACTAATTAAGTGGTTTTTTTTATTAAAATATGAATAGCTTAGTATAAATAATAAATAAATTTGCCAAGTTTGATCCAAATATATCCTTAAATAAGCAAACAACAACATTTTACAATATTCACCTATTCTCCATAAGAATAACATGGGAAATTTACATTTACAATTTTTTTAACTTTCTCCGTTACCAATAACCGTTCAAAAACACTTTGATATACAATTTTTTTAAGCTCTTTAAAACGGTTTAGAGAGAAATTGGGAAATTTTGTGTTTTGAGGGTCAAAAATGAGAAAAACCACTTTTTACCCAATAAATCCCCCGTAATAAATCCCCCATGCTGGTTCGCAAACTCATTCAAGTTTATCCCGCCTTACACCTTTAAACCAAATTTCATCAAAATCGGACAAAAATTACTCAAGTTATCACGTTCACCGACGTATAATATAATTATATACATATATAAAAATTTGAATGAATTGTGTTTTTGGCCTCTTGGGACATCAAAATGAAAAAAAGTAAATGGTCCCGGGTCTAGATCTTACCGTGCCACCTACGGTAATAGCTACTTCCTTTTAGGGAAATTCGCTAATACATGTAATACTGTAGACAGTGTTACATTTGCACTTATTAGTATTATATAAACATTAATTGAGTAGTCTACCTGTACAGTTGTAATCTCCAAACCACCTTCATTATTTTCTTCTCCAAATCCAATTAAATTTAGTTATTTGTGATTCAACCACCTCAAATGCTAATATCCCAGACAATGAGCAAGTAAACCTGCAAGTCATTTGCGAATGCCATTTCAATTGTGGTTCTAAAAGTGTTAGCATCAAAAGTGCCAAGTTTTTCCTATCTGGAATTATATAGTTGGAGATTTCTGTATTTGTGAGTAAAATTTTGCTAATATGTTCCCCTTAACTTGAATTAATTTCTTAAATTCGCTTGAATATTATGTCTCTGATTCCATCCTTTTAAATAGCAAAATTTTAAATATTAGCTGATCTTTAGAAAATAAATTCTATATTTTTTAGTAGCATTGGTCTATATTTTTTCTTAACTATAAGCTTGAAATAAATATTAATATGCCTGTTTGGTATTGATAAATTAATTTTTGGGATGGATTATATCTGTAAAATATAGATTTATTAAAACACAAAAAATGCTACTCTTTAAAACTTGTCCATGTCTTAGTTAATTTAGACATTTATTCTTTTGTTCATATAATGTTAATATAGGCCTAAGTAAGTTATTGTTGGGAATAGAAGTTAAATTTTCATAAATTTGAAGTTGTAGCATAATAGAGTATTTTATTATACAGCATTATTTTAAAATGTAGCTAACGGCTAAGTAGTAGCAATGTACTACTTTGTGTGATTAGTTTTCTGTTTTTAGTATATATTAAAAAACATAAAAAATAAAATGGAATTAGCAAATTTATTTTATTGTTATATTTTATGAAAGTTTTGGCCAACTTCTTTAAAGTTCAAAAGCCTCCAATTTAAAAACAATTTTTGTTTGAGGTTGGTAACTTTTGAGTCTTTTAACAGAATATTCTTTTGAATTTTCTACTGTGGCAAATTTGTTGGCAGCAACAATGTTATGTTTATTAATAGGAGTGTAAAAAAAGGTTGACTTTGTTAATCAAGATTTTAAATCAGGATAGCAAATAAATAGTTCATTGGGTCAAGTTTGACTCTCACACCATGAGCTAAACATTAGGTGTAAAAATAGAAGCATACCTCATAATGATTATATTTATTGTTCTGTTAATCTGTCATACTTACAAGTTCATTATTTTGGCAAATATTAATTTGTTTTGAAAATGAGCGAGTACATTTCCCTTTAAGATTTGTTAAAATAAATTGATTGCCTTGACAGGAACAACAACTTAACTTTGCAGAACAGTATAATTTACAAGTTAGTTCATATACACATGATATGTTGAAGTTTCATGTTAGTATAATTTTCAACCTTGAATATGTCCACCAATTTAGAAATGAGAAGTTTCCCAAATTAAAGTGTCTTTCTTTTTAAAATCTATTTTTCCCCTGATAAACCCCCATTTACCAAACATGTTTTGATTGGTTGTGCTTTCTTATTTTCAAGATTCATATAATTAATAAGATTACCTTTACTAAGTTGCATTATTACGATAGTAAGTCCTAATATTTTTCGGAATTATAATAAGTCATTGGGCTTTTAAATCTCAAACCTATTGTGCGGTTAATAAGATACATCCAACACATGTTTAATTAAATTTCATCAAACCAATTTTATTTCTCATACATTTGTTCAAATGAAAACACCTATTTCTACATTACAATTCAGACCACTCAATTTCCAAATTATGATTGCATAAATATATCAAATTATTCCATCGTATCAAATATAAACATTATTTTGGTATATTTCATCATATGAACCCTAGCTCTTTGGCTAACTTATAGCTTGCATGAATTACTGATTCATATATCAAATTTGCTTGATATATCACACAGTATCTCCGTTTTGATGTTGATGGGTCTAAGCACACAGGGCGAGGTCAGATATAAGATGATAAAATTATCTACTGCTGGCTTAACCTTCATACTGGTAGAGCCTAGTTCAATTCTTCCATCACAATTATTTAACTGTTGCTAGTGATTGTGTGCTTTGTGGTTCTGAAAATGGAGGCAACGGAGGGGCTAGATATCATTCCAAACTCCGAAGGTTATTAGTTTTAATTACTCACAAATTAATATCATCATAGCAATTATTTGTATCACAATTAACAATTGAATTTTTATAGGAAAATGTGCGAGATAATTGAAAGTCATTAATACTAGAAAGTTTTGATTGGTTTTGTACGATATCTGTTTTCCAATCTAGTCAAATTACAATTTGGCTGATAGCTAACAAACTTTTCTTTTCAAAATCCATCGCAACTATTGGTTTAGATATGGAATTTAATAAATGTAACCATACCACCATGAAAAAAAAAATATTTAAAAAAATTATTTCTTCTATCCAACCATAGATTAGGGCCCTAAACATTCTCCCCTTAGGATTATCATCCTTGTAAATCAGCACAAGATAGTTTTAAAACATTTATGTTTTAATGTTTGCGAGTTACTTCTTGTTGTCATTTGTATCACAATTCACAATTGAATATGTTTGGGATAATCCCTCTATTATAAAATGTCTCTTTGATCAATTATTTAAAGTGAAATAATTGTTTCAAAAGCAGTTTTACTAATTTTAATTTGTTAAAGCAAGCTAATTTTCAACTTCATTTAAAATATAATTTTCTACATCTTTTGAATAGGCCTATCTTATTAATACAGTATTACAGAAAATATCAACCATCATGATTAAGATAACAGTGAGTGATAATAGTAACCTTGTGTTTATCTGATAAGCAACAACAGTATCAATAATAAGATAGGCTAGGTAGTTGTGACAATTCAAAGTACAACTTTTTCCGTATAATTTTAAGTTGTATCAGTTTTAGCAACTATTTAAAGCTGTCAAATCAGGTAGGCTATTTAACTTTTTTAACTATGTTAGATTTTTTAAAATTTTATTTCTTCATCAGTATTTTGCATGTCCAGTTTGATAAAACCGAATATAATTGGAAGATGGTTCATCTTTGAAAGTAGGTCTAATGGTTTAAAATTGTTTCTGTTGTACATTCATTACCAGTATGTTAAGTTTTATCACAGGCTATAGGCCATTTTATCTATTGTAGTAAAGGTCTATTGTATGCGGTTTTATCTACATAAGATTAAATCTCTAGTTCTATAATCTATGTATTAACCTCATATACGTTTTATGGCATGCATGTGAGAAAGAGACCTAAGACCTGATACCTCGTGGCAATATGACAGGTACTGTTAAAACATTGGAGGTGGTCACAGTGAAAAAAATTAAATTCTAGATCTTGTATTGTCTTTTTACACAATAATATATGAATTTTTATGAGGTCTTATGGGGTCTTAGAAGTCGCAGCTTGTTCTGGTTTGGGTCTGTTTTATTTTTCTGGTTATTTGGCTCACTAATTGGTATTTTCTTTTCTTTTTTATAAAAGGTAATTTTTGCTTCTGTAAATGCCTAAACACTGCTTAGAATATATTTAACATGTATGTAAAGCATGTAAATATTAGTTACTTGGTAAATAATATTCGGCTATATAATGTCATTCCTATTTTTTTATTTAAATTATTTGGTAATAATTATTAAACCAAGACTTTTATAACAAGTCATTTATTTACAATACAAAATACCACCCCTCTCTGTCCTTTGAAGTATCAAGCTGTGTTTTACAAGTTTTCAATGATTAGGATGTAAAACCTCAGTTCCATGAAGGTTGCAAAACATTGTGTACAATGCACTTAGCCAATTGACCTTGAAGATTGGCAATGTACATTTCCTTTTTGTACAAAAAGGTGGAATTAAAACTGGGAGATAAAATTACACTCCTGTTTTAATTCCTCATTTTATGTTTTAAAAACACGAATGTCCGTACAATTCTCCTAGGAACAATGAATAGTTTTAAAAATATTCATGCAAAAACCATTAAATGTTTTTTCTTTTTTTTTCTTAAGATACTCTAACCATTTTTCAAAGTGGAAAAATGAAAAATATCTAACCAATAACTACTTAAAATGTTTAATCCAGGTTACAAGTAAAGTATTTTTAAAAGGTCATAGTAAAAATTATTGGAATTTAAAAAATTATATTAAATGAACGTTTTTATTTAGCTTAGTAATGAGATGTGCAAGTTTATTACCTCAGTTAATTCTCATTTCTTGCTGTGCATTTGATCCATTACTATATTACTTCTAAAGAAAAGAAATTTTGATGAAAAATAATATGATATGACATTATTTCTAATCATCCTGTAGCAGTGTAACTAATGAACATGCAGCCTACAAACAAGCATGCTATGATAAACACATTTGCACATTTGTATGATAAAAGATGTGACAAACAAACTAACATTATGAAAAGAAGAAAACAAAACTGAAATCAATAACATAAAACAGTTAAGAATCCACTACAATTACTAACCAACCTTGGGCTAAACCTATCAGGACATCAAAAGGGTTGGTATAGATACTGGTTAGAGTGTGACCTCTGTCCTGAAGGCACAGATAGGGGCTACTCAATTGCTTACAAATTGGAAAATAACAAATAAAAAAAATATTATAAATCAAGAAAATTCTTACTCCTACCAAAAATATTGCACAGACAGGGTGAGGATTTAAAATGTTTTATGAGTAATATTTTCCAAATAACATCTACATACTTGCACTATTATGTTTAGAACATAATTATATGGCAAACGTTCATAACTTTCAACAAGATCTTGAATCATTACAAGTAGTGTATAAAACCCCCAAAAATAGAATCATATTAAAACCCAATCCTAATTAATTTTCCAATCACTAAAACATTTTCAGTTAAGTCCTTGAACTTCATTCTCAGCTTAGAAACTAATCTGAGTAAACACTACATGGTAAAGTCACTATAAAGCATATAAATGATTAGTCTTTCAAACACTATACAACCGTTTTTATGTTAGGTTAAACCCAAGCGCTGTTACTTATATTGAAGAGTACACGCATAAACAGTAATAATCAGTATAAACAGAATAAACCAGTAGATTGTTCTGCAAAATATACCGATAAAACATTTTCTGACAATTTTTTAACATTCTTCTTACTTACGCACCAAGAGGATAACAGTTCGTATGCCCGTTCATACTTATTTCTTGATTTTTCAGGTTACAGGTTTAATGAAACATGTTTTGCAATTTCTGCTATTTCTTCTGGTCTACACATATATTTCACTTTCACTGAGTTCATTATTTGTAAAACATGTTAGTCCCACTTATAATTCATCTTTCAAATACTAGGCCTACACTTTAGGTTATGTTCAAACCAAGCGTTGAACAAAAATAGAATAGAATATAAACACGAAATGACAGGTTAAATCGGAGTATCAATATTCAATCAGCCGATCATAGTAGTAGTATCTTTAAGTGTTGCCAACCTATTTCCAAGCGTACACGGATTAAGTGCATAGTAAAACCACGCTCTTTTGTGTTGTTTGGTTGGAATTCTGGTGTGTGCCAAACTATAAACCAAAGTAACTATAAAACAAAGTATAAACGGTGCGACAAAGTAAGTAGATGCAGCAATTAGCCTCTTTCTGTACTATAATCAGTGCAAAGAAGCCAACTTTGTCGGGTGACTGTAGGGTAACTTCTTTTATTCAAGTTACGTATAAATAAATGGCACATTTTGGCAGTATGTGGAGGTTAACATGTATTTATACTATTCTATTTTCAATCTATATTCTTGGGATTGGGGGCTTTTAAATTGAGGTATCACAGCATTCACACTTTCTTTTTTTTATTCATTTTGAACATTTCTTGGTTGCTATCTATCCTATAGCCTTTTTAAAAGCATGCTAGGGGTATTATGCTTGGTATCATAATCATTAAGAGACTGTTTTTATTCTTTAATCAAATTACACTTAATGTAATTTTTCTTCATTTTTACATTTAGTTTGCTTTGATTAGAAGCTTAATAGTCCCCCATATTTTATTTTTATTTATTTTTAGGATCAGGTATCAAACACGGTTTTTTATTGATAAATCAGTGCTACAAATATAAAACCTCCAACTAAATTAATACACCTACTGAAGTGAATGTACTGTAAAGCATTTATCTCTCAAAATATTGTAGAAATAACACTCAGAATGTTCTTTTGTTCAAATTGTTTAAATCGTCACCAAATAGATTGTATTCCATCCAGTTTGATATGATACTATAGAGTCTTAAATTAGTACTATCAAATCTATCTAGCATATCTTAACTAACCAACATTTCTGTTTTAGAGGGGACGGAAGAAACGCTGCAGATGATTCGCAAATCTCTGCGCTCCCCCAACCTGGACATCCAGGGCTCACATTTTGACAAAGACTTACCCCACATCTTTGTCACATTTGGGGCTTCTGTAAGTAATTTACCTTGCTCAAAATGTAAAACTAGATCATTGTTGACATTTATCATTTAAGTTATACGATAAACTTATAATGTACTTGGCTCAAATCTATCATTTAATTGTTTGATTTCTTAGTACTGCAGCATCTTGGTATGAGGGGGGGGGGGGGGGGGTGGGGGATTTACTTGCATCAAGGTCTATGTATTTTCTAAGGTTTTTGCTATTAAGGTTCTGTTATTGAAAATTCAAAGGTGATTCTTTAAAAGTACATTGGGTTTTAAAGTACTCTGACTATAAAGGGTATTATGTACATGTTTATGTTTGACTGTAATTTATAATCGACAATAAAAATACAATTGAATTGTTTTACCGTTTTAAGAGACCTAGTTCCTAATTAATTCAAGTAGAACTAGTTAATGATGATTTTCCTTAATAATTTTTTTCTAACTGATGAACTAATATTGCACTAGAAAAGGGGTGGGTTTCGGAGTTTGCACATAAATAGTTTGAAACAATCGATCGTTCTGAATTAAAGTAGTTCTAGACTTTGCAAGTAAACAATTAATAATTAACAAATACTCATAAAATCACAGGTTAAACAAGAAATATTAAAATATTCAAATTTTTGAAAACCCCCCTTCTTTAGCTGGATTATCATTCATTGCAGCCAACTTGAACCATTACATAAGACAGTTCCAAAGAACTCTAAATAATTCCAAACCTTAGCATACTATTCCACCATGAATTATTCATACGTAGGCCCCTAAGCTGTTTGACTAGTTCAAGATATTTGGCCTTGATTATCCCTCTAGTTAATACATTTATGTTAACCAAACAGTTTCCTTCACAACAGTTCAGTTGATATAAACTATGGACACTGAACATTTGGCAAAATTTTGTAAGGATATAAATAATTCTTTCGTTAATTGGAATGTCAAGTATTTTTGTACTGCACCAATTGGAGTACTTCCAATTTGTTTCTGTCTAATATTACATCATCACCAAGCTCTTGTAAGTCTTGTAAGTTTACTCTGTCAAGTATTTAATGCTGTCAATAATCGTAAATTTACTAAAACTACCTTTTATCAAAATGTATCAACATTGAATCAATGAGTAAACAAGATATTTGTTCTTGTATATTGCTTATGTTCAACATAATGTATGAAAGGTGGGAAGATGATAATGGTAACAAAACCACTATAGAAACCTAGAACATAATAGTGATCATGATTGTGCCCTGTGGCTAACCTAATCTTCTTGAAGGCTGACTGCATGCCGGCCTGTTTGTCACAGCTAACTGTCGATGTTTCACTTAATATTTCATGCCCAGGCCAAGGTTAACCCAACAGGTCGTTAAATCAAACTGATACTCTAATGGTTATCAATGCTACCAACAATCATCGAACCTATCCACTTACACTAGTTCATCTGATTAACAACCATCAAACTATTACACTAATAACTATCAAACCTATATACAAAACCTCCGCAGAAAACCTGCAGTCTCAGCGAACGTCTGTTTGGATTTTTTCTAAAATATTGCCTTTATCATGAAAGATAAAATCCCTATTTAAATAAAATTAGGTTTAACGAATATTTGGGTTTGCTGCTACGGGGAAGAAAGAAGAAGTTTTTTTTATAAAATGTTTATAATATAGAAAGAAAATAAATTTTAAAATTTATAGTATAGAAGTAAATAAATTTGCCAAATTTTATTAAAATAAATCCATAAGTAAGCATTGCAATCTACAACAGTTTCCTTAATTTTAATGTACATTTTTTTATGTTCTTTATAACATTTAATCATACAACAATGCTTTAGGTAATATACAAAATTGTTGTTTTTTAAGCTCTGCACAATTGCTTGAAAATTGGGCATATCCATGTTTTACCAAAATTACTAATAAATATAATTACTTCATTGTATCCACAAACACATAATAGATATGGTACATGTAAAAAATCTCAACCAATAGTGTTTTGGTTTTGGGGAAATCAAAATGGAAAAGTAATAAATTGGTCCTGGGTCTAGGTCTTTCTGTGCCGCCTACGGTAATAGCTTTCCTGATAGAGAAATTTGCTAAACATTTTAATGAGTGGTGTTTTTGGCATCTGGGGACATCAAACCAAACATTTAATTAGTTCCAGGTATAGGTCTTATGATTCCACCCACAGCAATAGCTTATTCCCAAGGCTATATTGGAAATTTTGTTAAAAATGATACTATTATTCATCAAACCTTGCCCTTTAACAATTTTGATATCTACTGATAGCTGTTAATCTGATCAACAATTATCAAACATATACACTATAATTACCGGTATTACATTGATACACTAAGCAATTATACTCCCAATTGATTTTTAAACTTAATGATAATTAATTATGATTCACTATCCGTCATCAAACTTTGACTAATCTTTTTACCATTTACTTATACAAGAGAAGCATGTAAAGTACCTTGTTTCTAACGTTGCCAACAAGCCAAATCCGACCATGGGATGGTGGGATATAAATGTAGGTACCCAAGCTTTAAAAATTAAATCAAAGTTTTAACTTTTCACTTTTTTTAATACAAACAGTTCAATGGATTACTACTGTTCTACTCCTATTAGTATCTAAAATAAAGAAAGTGCTAACACAGTATATTGTCTCACATATTATCTTTAAATTAATTACTATTACTATAGAACGCTTTTTTATGGATATATTGTAATAAAGCTCATACAAAAAATATATTTCATTTTTGATATATTTATACTGTAATTCAATCATAAGGAATTTTTTGGTGTTCCTTGTAGCAGTAATCATAAATACTCATTGATAGAAAGTTGTTACTCAAAGTGAAAAATTTTATCAATTATTATAAACCTGTTTGGATGAAACCTCAATACAACAATTTGAAATTCACTTTATATAATTTTGTTCATAAACCAATTAGGATGATTGTATTATTTATGCTCTATTAGCAGATTTGAAATTTCAATTTGATTCTATATGTTAACCAAATTAATAAGATAATTATTAATTTTTGTAATCTTTTTTAGTTTTTTGTTTCCTATTACATTTTCAAATGCTTTTCATTTTGTATACTTTTCAAAAGAATATTCCTAAGTAAACTTATAACTAATACAGTGATGAACATGAAAGTATAGGAAATAAATAAAAATAGAAGCATAGTAAAACAAAAAATCAAGCCTTATACACAAATTACAATTGCCCTATCTATTGTATAACCATTCATTCTCTAATTATCAAGGCTCATTGGAGATTACATAAGTTTAATGAAACTAATAATAAATCCGCCTAGATTGGTAATCAGATGCCTAATTAATTATGTTCGCAAAGTAAACACAATTAAATTACTTCCTTTGATAGATAAATATTAGGGAACAATTCCTTTTTAATTTAAGATAACAGGTTTTGTACACTTCATTTTGTTTAGTAATGCTGCTTCTTATACACAGAAATCTTAGAAAATAAATGGAATCATTAATCAAGTCATTGTATCAGCATCATTGTACATATAATTTGAAACATTTCAATAGTGTACATCAATATAATATACTAGTAATTCATTAACCAATCCAGATTTATACAGTAATTTAGTCATGCAGTAGTTTGTTTGGAATAAAATATCCTCTGCAAATTTGAAGTTAGTATGTTATAATTAGTGCATAAAAGACTATAATACCGTGATATTTCGGAGAGGAATAGTACTATTTGAATTTTAATAAACATAGTACTGGAATACGATCAAGGATTTGGTTATTAAATTTTAGTGATGTCCAATATAATCCTAATAATAATTAGAATCATAAGATAACTAATTAGGGTTGGCAACTGTAATATTAAATACAATTAATGTATAGCAAAATTACTAAATGCACGCATACCTATGTGTTTGCTGGTGAGGACTTAGTCATAGCATTTTAGAATTGGAAAATAAATTTGAAATCTGTAGATCATTTATACAAATTAATTAGTAAAACCATTCACTTTTAAGTTTAGAAATCATTGGTTTCAAGACGTATCAAATAAACCTAGTGCCTTTTATACATATGACTATCTCTGCATGGTGAATTCCTAGAAATATTAGTCTGTGGTATGGAACTCCCACAGAGCTGTATTAGAAGGTCACCTGAAGGTGAAGCAGGCTCAAGCTACATTTCCCTCAGACTTTACCTTGGCCTCAGCTCCAGAATTAGGCCTACTTTCTCTAAATCTTATCTATCCTTATATTAGCTCACTTGCCCAACCCAGAGCAAATTTTCCATTATAAAAACCCTGTTAACTGAGTTCTATCAAACCTAGAACCTTTTGTATTTGGAATGAAATGTGATTTGTTAATTTAGATTTTGATTTTTATATCTGTATGAGTAAAATATTTTTTCAAACCTTGTAACAAACGAGTAGGGCTATAGATAAAGCTTTTTTTTTTGTAGAGCCCAAATTACTAAAACCTTTTTTTATTTTTTATTGTTTGGTAACCTTTTTGTTTGAATTTTATTGAATCGGATTTGAACGACACCAAAACACCAGTGTGCATAATTTATGGAGGAGATGAGTGTTGAATAAATGTGATGATTGCTAGGATCAGCTGATTCTTTTGCCAGGACTATTCATAAAAAACCCAAGATCAAGGTTACATACTTTACATAAACTTAACTTAAGACCCTAGACCGATTTGAAAATATCATTAAGAGGTTTCCAAAAGAGCCTTGTATACTTTAAACCATTGTATTTTTATGTTTGAAAATTCAATGGGCAATAAGAGTTTTCCTTCTTCATCACATCAATTGAATATTGAGATTTTAAAAGCTATCGAAATAATATATTGTTCAATTTTTGTAGAATGTTTGCTTGTGCTTTTTACTAAATATCTGACAAAATTACTATTATGGGACCTATGGTGGGAGGAAACAAACCCCTCTGTCCAGCCAAATACCTTTAATAAGATGGATGAATATTATTTTCTAATTATATTATTACTCTAATTAAGTTATATTATT